TCCAACATACACACTCCTCAAAGATAAAATATCTTAATCACTCCCAATTTTAATCAATGATTATTATCCACACTGTACTACTACTACTACTTGAAGAGATTACCATTAAATTAAATAATATTAATATATTCAATTATAAAATTCAATTAAAAAAAATGTTGTCCAAATTTAAAAACTGTTTAAACATTTCTTCTTCTTCAAGAAACAAATTCATTCAATCATCACTATGTAAATTAAATAATACCACCAATAATATTACCAATAATAATAATATTTATCGTTCATTTACCATTACTAATTCAACATTCTCTTCTTCTTCCGATAATAATTCATCATCATCATCATTTACATCACAACAACAATTAGAACAATTAAATAATAACAATTCATCTCCATCATCCAATAATAATAATTCTAATAATTCTTCTAATAATAATAATTCTTCTTCTAATCATACATTTTCATTAGAAGATTTAGATAAAGTAAAAGAAGAATTAATTAAAAATTTATTAGAAATTGATTCTAATTCATCAGTTCCATTACCATCACCTGGTAAATCATCTGGTGATCAATCAATTGATGAAGCAACTAAACAATGGAGATTAACAAATACTAAAGATGATGAAAATTTACAAAAATTATTTAAATCAACAAAACAAAAAGCATCAACTTCTTTATTAGAACAATCTCAATTAAATAGTAATATTAATGATATGGAAAATGATGATTTTGAAGTTGGTGTTGATAAAGATGAATTTTCTAAATATGTTAATCCATTCAATCCTGAAACACAAGAAGTTAATGGTCCAAAAAGGTGCTGAACCTACTAGATTTGGTGATTGGGAAAGAAGTGGAAGATGTGTTGATTTTTAAAATATTTTAAAAATTATATTATATTAATAATACCCTTTTTTATTAAAATAATAATATTTATAATTAAAATAAATATTATAAAAATATAATATAATAAATATAATAATAATAAAATTATTCATTAACTTTTGAAACAATTCTCTTAAATCTCATAATATTTAATTTTTCAAAAATGAATTTAAATAAAATGGTAACCTTATTAACTCTCTTTTTAAAACCAATTCTTGCCATACCTTCACTATACTTGTTAATTCTTTCAAATGATAATTTAGAATCTTGTTCATATAATTGTAATGCTTGATTAGTTAATCCATGTTCATTTAATTGAATACATAATTGAATTGCATCATGAATAGCAACATTACCACGTTGAAATAATGTTGGATCAACACTGTGTGCTACTCCACCAATTGCAACTATATTACCATTGGCACTATTATTATTACCAGTATTATTATTACTGCTAGTATTACTAGTATTATTCTTATTAATATTACTAGTATTATTATTATTAATATTAAAAGGAATAAATAAATTCTTCAATTCATGATCATATGAAATTTGAGAATGTGCAATGGTATGAATTCTATTTCTAGAATAAACGTATTGTCTAATAATATCAATAACACTATCAACACCATTATCTCTTAAATTAGTATGAATCTTATTAACGAAATGAAGTGAATTTGTAGAATTTCTTTCCATTCCTAATGCAGAATGTTTTGGAATGTATTGAATTGAATGAATTCCTAATTGTTGATTTGATAAAGGTATAATTGCTAATCTACTTGAATTATTCCACCATTCAAATAATCTATTTTCATAATCAATATCAGAAGGTGAAGGTAAAATAATTGTATCACATTCATAATTTCTAGATTTTAAAATTAATTCATTTCCTAATTTAGTTTGTAAATATTTAACAGATTGTGATTGTGAAATATCATCTTCTGCTGCAACAAGTAAATCAACATGACGTTTTGTAATTGATTTTTTAGTTGAAAGTGAAATTCTATTACCATTTTCATTAATATTTCTAATATTATCATTAATTAAATTAATATTTGATAATTTTTGTAATTTATCATTTAATAATTTTAATAAATAACTTTTTTGACATGAATATAAACATGGTGGTGTTGTATTTTTTAAATCCATAACTGTTAATGCATTACGTATATCTGCACGTATTAAATGATAATGTGTTAATTTAATTACATTTTTAGATTGTTTTAAATCAATTTCACAATATTCATTCAATAATTCAATACTTTTATGTGATAATACTAATATTTCATCTTTAATATCTTCACTTGTTGTATATATATCAATTATACTTTGTGGTTCTTTTAATGAATATGCAATTGAAAATACTAATCCTTCAATAGTTTGTCCACTTACACCAATATGTTGTTGTTGTTGTTTTTTATTATTATTATTATTAGTTGTATTAGTAGTTGTATTAGTATGAGTTGTAGTAGTAGTATTAGTAGTAGAAGTAGATGAAGGCTTTGGTGCATAGACTCTCAAGGAGGATGAAAAATTAGCCTTGTTGAAGAAATTTGTTGAAGAAGAAGTAAATTATTATGAGTAGAAATAGAAGAAGGATAAAAAGACTTGGTCATTTCATTGGCCAACATGGAGTGAGCCGAATGACGCAATAAACGCAAACTTTTCATTTTTTTTCAATTTTACCTTTTATTGTGTGAATGAATACTAAAATGGCCATTCAATTAGATGAGTTTAAAACACAATTATTGCCTTTATCATATTATTATATTGAAATTACAATGAAAGTTAATTAAATATGTAATTTTTCATGATATTATCTTTCATTGTGAGAATGGATCCATAATTATAGATATTCAATACATTTAATACTTCCTATATTAAAATAAATAATAATAATGAAACAATAATAATAAATTAAATTTTTAAATAAACATAGGATAGAGTTTGTATTAATAAAAGTTTATTTAATATTTTTAATTTTATATTTAATTGAATAACTTTTAATTAAACTTAATTTTTGTTTATTAAAATTAATTACATAAACAATTTTCATAATACAATAAATTAAATACAATATTTTAAATTCAATTAATTTTTTTCCTTTTTCATATAAAATTCAACCAAGAATATTTATTATAATGAATATAATTACCCTCTATTAATTTATAATTTAAATTATTTAAATAAATATCATTATTCTTTAAAGTACTATTAATAATATTTAGTTTATTATCATTTAAACTACTAATAAGTATTTTTATAGGCATTAATATTTTACATTATTAATGTATTTTAAATAGACTTGTTGATTATGATTTTATAAATAATTAGTTTAAATTTAATTATAAATGTTCGATAATATATTTTGTACAATTACAATTAGGTATTATCTGCTAATAATAAATCTATCCTGGATTCCATTAAGAATATTTAATTTTAATTAACATGTATTAATATTAGCATGTTTCAATTTGCAAAAATTTATGCCATTAAGTTTGCTCAAGAACTGAATTCAGTGATCGGAACAGATATTACTAACCTTCTCAACTAAGTTTTATGAAGGAACGAAGCATTGTTGTTATGACAACTTTTACCATGAGCTGATTGTTGTATATGGTTTATTAACAAAAATACTTAGGCTAAGACGGTTACATTATTGTATTTCTACAACTGCGGTACATAACCAAAACTCAATAAATGTAGATGAACACTACCATTGAGTAAATAGCTAGGTACGGTAGTTGCTAATACCATAGAATCATAGAATAATATAGTATACAGTACTATCAGTACTATACATCTCAATATATGTCATCGTAACTATTTTCTGTTGAATTACACTTACGTTGATCACGGTTACAATGTATAATTGATTGATCGAACGGTACAAAGAATACAACAATATTTTCATTGAGAATAGATTTTAATTCATACCTCATTATCTGAAGCACTTCTACATAGTACATGATGTTAATTAATTGGTGCCGAAGAGGAAACAACACAAGGATCACCAACACCTCAAAATGAGAACAAAATTCTCCTGGTAATACTGACAACGGAGAGGAACCAGAAGATGACGAGGCAGGGTTTAGGCCATATATCCTAATCATTAAATGAATCTATTGTACAACAAACATTAAATGATTGCGTGTAGACGATTTACCATTAATAGAAGTGCCACTTTATTATTTGAATCTGATTAGTGTAT